GTATGAATTCAGGGTGCCAGCTCCAGGAGAAATCTTTCTCTCTTTGTTGACTCTGGATGCTTATCATCAGTCTTCCCCTGGCCTAGGAGCTTCTCAGGCAGGGACTCTGGAATCAAAGGACTCGTTCTGCTCCCAGCACTGCTTTTTTGGTGATATGAGGTCCTTCTCCTCTCTGCTAGCTTCTCTGTTTTATATTTCAAAAGAGAGTGACTCAAAAGACAATGTAATCCTGTAGATTGAGTCTTCTCTCATTAACATAACTGCCTCTAATCCTGCCTCATTAACGTCATAGAGATAGAATTTACAACACATAGGAGAATCATACCAGATCACAAAATGATGAACAACCACACAATACTGGGAATCATGGCCTAGCCAAGTTGACACACATTTTTGGGGGACACAGTTCAGTCTATAACAACAGGGAACTGCCAGAATGTCAAGGTGGATTCAGAAGAGGATGTGGAATGAGGGATATCATTGCTGATGTCAAATGATGTTGGCTGAAAGCAGAGAATACCAGAAAGGTGTTTACCTGTGTTTTATTGACTATGCAAAGGCATTTGACTGTGTGGATCATAACAAATTATGGATAATTTTGCAAAGAATGGGAATTCAAGAACACTTAATTGTGCTCATGAGGAACTTGTACATAGACCATGAGGCAGTTGTTTAAACAGGACAAGGGGATACTGCATGGTTTAAAATCAGGAAGAGTGTGCATCAGGGTTGTATCCTTTCACCATACTTAACTCAGTCTGTATGTTAAGCAAATAATCTGAGAAGCTAGACTATACGAAGGAGAGCACGGAATCAAGATTGGAGGAAGACTCATTAACAACTTGGAATATGCAGATGATACAACCTTGCCAGCTAAAAGCTAGGAGGACTTATGCACTTACTGATGAAGATCAAAGACTACAGCCTTCAGTATAGATTGCACCTCAACGTAAAGAAAACAAAAATCCTCACAATTAGACCAAAAAGCAACATCATAATAAACAGAGAAAATATTGAAGTAGTCAAGGATTTCATTTTGCTTGGATCCACAATCAATGCCAGTGGAAGAAGCAGTCAAGAAATCAAAGGACATATTGCATTGGGCAAATCTGCTGCAAAAGACCTCTTCAAAATCTTAAAAAGCAAAGATGTTCCTTTGAGGACTAAGGTACCCCTGATCCAAGCCATGGTATTTTCAATTGCCTCATGCAATGCAAAAGTTGGATAATGAATAAGAAGACTGAAGAAGAATTGATGCATTTGTTTTATGGTGTTGGCGAAGAATATTGAATATACCATGGACTGCCAGAAGAAAGAACAAGTCTGTCTTGGAAGAAGTACAGCCAGAGTCTTCTTTGGAAGCGAGGATGGTGAGACATCATCTCACATACTTTGGACATATTATCAAGAGGGACCTGTCCCTGGAGAAGGACATCCTGCTTGGTAAGGTAGAGGGTCAGCGAAAAAGAGGAAGACCCTTGACGAGATGGATTGACACAGTGGCTGCAACAGTTGGCTCAAACATAGCAACGATTGTGAGGATGGCGTAGGACCGGGCTGTATTTCTTTCTGTAGTACATAGAATCGCTATGAGTCAGAACTGACTCGACAGCACCTAACCACAACATGGCATACGAAAATTTGAAACAGCAAGAACAACTAAAAAATACATGTGCGTGTATGTATGTATATATATAGGTATATATGTGTATAAGGATGTGTATAAAGATGTATATATGTGTGTATGATTTATGCATATGTATCTGTAGATTCATCTATGTGACTGTATGCACATATATATATATATAATAGAGCACATGGGTGGCACAGTTACCGATACTTATTAGACATAATCAGATACCTCAAAGGATTAGATTTCTGTGTTTGAAAGATTAGGACCATAGTTTCTTGGGACATCTCAGTCAGTTGGCATAATATAGTTCATAAAGTAAAGGTCTACAGCCTAGTTTGGTGAGTAGCATCTGGGGTCTTAAAAGCTTGCCAGTGGCCATCTAAGATACAACTGTTTATCTCCACTTGTCTGGAGCAAAAGAGAAAGAAGGAAACCAAAGACTGAAAGAAGAAACTATTCTACAGGACATAGTCTACAGGAACCACGGCTGCATCTACTCTGAGACCAGAAGAACCAGATGGTGTCTGGCTACCACTACTGACTGTTCTAATCAGGGCCACAATAGATAGAGCCTGATAGAATGTGAGAAAAATGTGGAACAGAACCTCAAGTTAAACAAACAAAAAACCTACTGGATTAGTTGAGACTGTAGGACTCCCTGGTACTATTGCCCTGAGACACTCTTCAAATCTTCACTAACCCCTGAGGTCACCTTATAGCTAAATAACAAATGGTTCAAAAAAAAAGAATATCACCTGTAAGTACTGTGCTGCTTTATGAAGTCACTTGTATGAGACCAAATGATCCCATGTAAATTTCTCATCAAAATTTCTGCTTCTTTTTTCTTTCTTACCTGCAAGTTTTCCTTTAGCCTATACTCCCAAATGTGGGAAATCTCTCTCTCCCCTCCACAAAGACAATATGCCTGCATCGTTTTCTTCTCTTTATTGTTCTCGCATTTGGAGAGTGAAACCATTCTTGTCATGTCATCTCACGTCTCTTCAGAACTCAGTCTCTAATCCTTTCTATGTTCACTAGGCACCAACAGTGTCCAGACTATCTGCTGAATAGTTCCATAAGATTTAAGTCCCAACAGTTGATTCCGTGAATGTGTCTAACGGAAACTTACCATGTGTCTCAGTCATCTAGTGCTGCTGTAACAGAAATACCACAAGTGGATGGCTTTAACAAAGAGAAGTTTATTCTCTCACAGTCCAGTAGACTGCAAGACCAAATTCAGGGCATCAGCTCCAGGGGAATGCTTTCTTTGTTGGCTCTGGAGGATGATCTGTGTCATCAATCTTCCCTTGGTCTGGGAGCTTCTCTGCACAGGAACCTCAGGTCCAAAGGACACGCTCTGCTCCTGGCACTGCTTTCTTGGTGGTATGAGGTTCCCATGTGTCTCTGTTTGCTTCTGTCTTTTATATCTCAAAAGAGATTGGCTTAAGACACTATCTAATCTTGTATACCTCATCAGTATACCTGCCGCTAATCCATCTTAGTAGATCATAGTGATTGAATTTACAACCATAAGGAAATCACATCAGATTATAAAATGGTACACAATTATACAATACTGGGAATCATGACCCAGCAAATTTGACAGATATTTTTTGGGGACACAGTTTAATCCATGACACCATGTTTCTTCTTAAATTTCATATTTTTCTCCATGTCAGTAATCCTTTTTCTTACCACCTGGGTTTTAAACTTTAGTTATTTTTTATAATTTCCCTTCACACCTCATGTATTTATTTATTTTACAAAATAACTCTTTATTCCATCTGCTGTTTTTCCAAGTTAATGGTGATTACCACACTGCCCTAAGTCCTCATTTACAGCCAATTCCGACAACACCTAAGTTTTGTTCCCCACCAGCTCAGCTTATGTATGAGATGAATCTGTCTGAAATGTTTTCTCCTGATCAGAAACTGCCAATGACACATTATTTTCTACCTGACCACCTCAAATCCCCACTAATTCTATTGCCCTTTATATTTCTTTTTTTTTAGTTTGAATGTTTTGTTCTTTTTTGTTTTTAACATTTTATTGTATTTTAGTTGAAAGTTTACACAGCAAATTAGTTTCCCATTGAACAATTCATACACAAATTGTTCCGTGACATTGGTTGGGATCCCTGCCATGTGTCGGCACTCTGCCCATTTCTACTCTGCCTTCCCCATTTCCACCAGTCTAGTTTCCCTACCCCTCCTTGCCTTCTTGTCTTTGCTTTTGGGCATATGTTGTCCATTTGCTCTCATATAGTTGATTATTCTAAGGAGCACATTCCTCACAAGTGTTATTGTTTATTTTATATATAGGTGCCTTTTGTATTTCTGTAGCAATTTCAATAAATCCAACTAAATTTAAGACTTGATTATATTCTGTCTTCACTCAGGTATATTAGTTTTGCTTACCTGGTTAGATTTTTTTTTAAATTGTGGTGAATATATGTGTAATAAACTGAAATTTCAACAATCTTCACATTACAGTTCAGTGATGTTAGTTATGTTCATTATGCTGTTCAACCATCACATTTATCTGTTCCCAAGTTACGCCATCATCCTTGACAGAAGCTCAGTGTCTTGTAAGCATTGAGCCTTCCTTTCTCCATCTCTCCTGCCTGCCCTTTGGTAACCACTAATAAACTTATGTCTCTATCTATTTGCCTATTCTAGACACTTCATATAAGTCGGATCTTATATTTATCCATTTGTAACTGACTTATTTCACTCAGCATAATGTTTTCAAGGTTCATCCACGTTGTAGCATGTGTTAGGACTTCATTTCTTTTTATGACTGAGTAATATTCTATTGTTATTATATTCATATTTTGTTTATTCATCTGTTGATGGATATTTAGGTTGTTTCCACCTTTTGGCTATTGTGAATAGTGTTACAGTGAACACTGGTGTACCAGTATCTGTTTGAATCTGTGCTTTCAAGTCTTTTGAGTATTTACCTAGGAATGGAATTGCTGAGTCATATGATAATTCTATGTTTAACTTTTTGAGAATCTACCAAACTGTTTTCTATAGTGACGTTACCATTTTACAATCTCACCAGCAATGAATGAGGGTTTTGGTTTCTCCATGTCTTTGCCAACCCCTGTTTATTTTCTGCTTTTCTAAGCATAGATTTTAAGAGCAGGTCCATGTATTTCAATTGTTCAGTTCTCATGCTCAACATAGTGGTAAACACAGGTTTATCTTAATTATCACCTTGTAATTGACATGTCTACCTAGGCAGTGATATCATTTGATGCAGGGATCCCTGATGCCATCACCCACACAAAGTTGTTGTGCGCCCCGTTTCTGTTAGCCTGCTAATATTAACGATCTTCTCTTTTCTCTCTCCCCAACCGCAGCATGTGCTTTCCGATACAATGGGCTCTCGTTTGTCTACCTTATCTACCTCTTGCTCATTCCTCTGTTCTCAGAACCAACAAAAGCAACAATGCAAGGTAAGAACCATTTACTATTCCATTCTCAGAGTTATACAGTCTGCATCATTTTGCTAAGTTTCCTAGATGGGCCCTTAAGTCCCAGTGAGAGGCAGTGTCTGTGCAGCAGGGCCCGTTAGGTGGGGAGTAGTGTTGAGCATGTGGAACTTGTTGGTGATATGTGTTTTATCACTTACATGACTACTCTCCCCATAGAACTTCCCTATTAGGTCTTTATTAGCAGGCTTGGCAGTATATCTGGAATGTTTGGGCTAGATAAGTCTAACTCAAAGTATTATCAATAAAATGAGTCAGATGGCGTGACAACATTGACACATACATTTGCATATAGGATTCCCTAGGGAGTATGGTGGCAGGTGGAAAAGAGGCTGAGCAATGTCATAGGTTTCTGAGACTCTTATCAGAAGAGCTGGGTTGGAAGCCTGATCTCAATCATAACTTGTTCATATGTCCTTTGAGTTCTCTTATATATGCCTTAATAAAGTAACTAAACAGAGTGATGTGAGTTTGAGGTATAGTTTTTCAAGCTCGTTGTGCAAAAATGTATATCCTTTCTCCCTTGGGCTATAACAACTTAAAGACATAGAAAAAAATGGCCACTGTATTTTCTAAAGCTCTCATTAGGATGTGTGATCTGGCTTGTGAATTTATTTATTTGAAGTCTTCCCCAAGTATAAAAATTAAACCACACTGAGTTAATTTAAGAAATTGTTTTTCAAAATAATACAATTATACAAACTAAGGACTATGGCAAATATCTTAGGTGAGAGCTGTGATAGCTGTATGGAAGAAAAAGGAATTTGCATTTGGCCAGCCTTTGGGTGGCACAGAAAGGGTGATGTTGCAACTCTGAGCGGGTGTCCTTATTAGTGACCGGCTCTGTAGGAGAAGAAGGCAAGACCTTGGTGTTCACTATGAGTCGGAATCAACTTGATGGCAGTGGGTTGGTGTTCACAGAGCAGCAGATACTGGACTCCATCCTTCCCAGTCTCCCCATTTGCTGTTGAATGTGTAGTGTGTATTATGATCATCCATCCTGGTAGTTATTACTACAGATGCTGTGTTGATTTTCCTGTCTCAGGAAGAACCTAAATAATAGCTCTCCTGAGTCACTTAGATGCTTTATATGCCAACCTAAGAGAAGCTAGAAGTGTGAACCCTTTGCCTTTGAGTCGATTCCGACTCATAGCGACGCTATAGGACAGAGTAGAACTGCTCCAATGGTTTCCAGGGAGCACCTGGTGGATTCGAACTGCCGACCTTTTGGTTAACAGCCATAGCTCTTAACCACTATGCCACTTAAGAGAGTTAATGCAAATCATCATCAGACCAAAAGTACATTGTTTATGGGACGAAGCCCAGCACAGCTTTATTCCTAAAGAGTTCAACATAAACAAAGACGTTTAAATAGAATAGTTTTCTGGCCTCAGAAACAAGATTATAATGTATTGGCAGTTCCTGTTTCATTATGTAGAGCTCATTGTTGAAAGAAAAAGGGTTTCATACATACTCAGATTAAAGTGCTTTAAAAATGAGTACCTTATATATTCTACAGAGTTATCCATTACTTTTATATCATGGTGTTCCCTTATTATTTTATTAGAAATCAGGGATTGGGATTTCCATTTTCGCACTTCTATGATAACCCCGGACTTTTGCCTTCTTCCCAGACTAACCAGCCCCGATCTCTAGTGGGTTGGTTGAATGTCTGCAGGGGCATGAGTACCACCCATGTCAGAGTGTGTAACTACGGGCCTCCCAGTTTATGCCCAGGTGCTCTAGGAACTATCACTGCCAGGAAAGTCATAGGTGAGGACGTAGAATCAGAAGCAGAAAGCAAATCCTTCATATGTATGGAAATATCCCAAATCGGCCTGCTAGACAGTTTTATAACAAGATAGCTCAAGGTCAAACAAACAAAACACAAGTAAGAGCATAGATCCTGCTGGTGTTGTCCTTACAGGAGAAGAAGTTCTCGGCTCGAAAGGGAAACCCACAGGTATCTTTCCACTTAGTGTCTGGAGAGAGGACTCTGGTTACGTATTTTCCTCTTTCCTGCATGTTATAGCCAAGAAACATGACTGATAGAGCATAATGTAACCTCGGTTTGGTTTGTTTGTTTGTTTATGTAATGACAGAGCGACTCTTACAAAGGATAGCACACTTTTTTTTTCCTGAATTCACATTCAGTGGAGTTGCTGACATCTGTTTTAAGAAAATAATTTGATTTTCTTTTAGTGGTAAAATATCTCTAATACAAAATTTGCCATTTTAGCCATTTTTAAGTGAACAATTCAGTGGCATTAATTGCATTCACAGTATCGTACAACCATCACCACTGTTTGTTTCCAAACCTTTTCATCACCCCAGACAGACACTGCCTGTTAAATAATAACTCCTCATTCCCCACTCCCAGCCCCTGGTAACCTCTCATCCACTTTCTGTCTCTCTGTGTTTGTCTATTCCAGACATTCCATATGAGTGATGGGATCATAAATATTTGTTTTTTTGTGCTGGCTTCTTTAACTTAGCATCATCTTTTCTAGGTACAATGTGGCATTATTAGAACTGTATTCCTTTTTACAGCTGAATAATATTTCAGTGTATGGATATATCACATTTTATTTATCCATTCATCTATTGATGGACATCTGGGCAGTTTCCACCGTTATGCGACTGTGAATAGTGCTGCAGTGTACACTGATGTACAAGTACCTGTTTGAGCCCCTGATTTCATTTCATTCGGGTATATACTCAGAAGTGGAATTTGTTAGGTGCCATTGAGTTGGTTCTGACTTGTTGTAACCCTGTGTACAACAGAACGAAACGCTGCTCAGTCCTACACCATCCTCACAATTGTTGCTACATTTGAGCCCATTGTTGCAGCCACTATATTAATCCATCTTGTTGAGAGACTTCCTGTTTCTCATTAACCTCTACTTCACCGAACATGGCATCCTTCTCCAGGACTGGTCCCTCCTGATAACATGTCCAAAGTACATGAGATGAAGTCTTGCCATCCTTGCTTCTAAGGAGCATTCTGGCTGTCCCTCTTCCAAGACAGCTTTGTTCGTTCTTCTGGCAGTCCAAGGTATATTCAATATTCTTGGTTAACACCATAATGCAAAGGCATCAGTTCTTTTTAGGTCTTTCTTATTCATTGTCCAGCTTTCACATGCATATGAGGTGATTGAAAATACCTTGGATTGGGTCAGGGGCACCTTAGTCCTCGAAGTGACATCTTTACTTCTTAACACTTTAACGAGGTTTTTTGCAGCAGATTTGCCCAATGTAATACATCATCTGATTTCTTGACTGCTGCTTAATTGTGGATCCAAGTAAAATGAAATCCTTGACAACTTCATTATTTCCTCCGTTTATCATGATGTTGCTTAATGGTCCGGTTGTGAGGATTTTTGTTTTCTTTATGATGAGGTGCAATCCATACTAAAGGCTTTAGTCTTTGATTTTCATCAGTAAGTGCTTCAAGTCCTCTTCACTTTCAGCAAGCGAGGTTGTGTCAGCTGCATATTGCAAGATGTTAATGAATCTTCCTCCAATCCTGATGCCACATTCTTTTTCATATAGTCCAGCTTCTTGGATTATTTGCTCAGCATACAGATTGAAAGGATACTACCCTGACGCATACCTTTCCTGATTTCAAATCATTCAGTATCCCCTTGTTCTTTTTGAGCAAGTGTGTCTTGGTCTATGTACAGTTTCCTCATGAGCACAGTTAAGTGTACTGGAATTCCCATTCTTCACAATGTTATCCATAATTTGTTATGATCCCCACAGCTAAATGCCTTTGCATAGTTGATACAACACAGGTAACCATCTTTCTGATATTCTCTGCTTTCAGCCATGATCTATCTGAGATCAGCCATGATATCCCTCATTGCACGCCCTCTTCTGAATACAGCCTAAATCTCTGGCAGTTCCCTGTTGATGTACTGTTGTAATTGCTTCTGAATTATCTTCAGCAAAATTTTACTTACATGTGATATTCATGATTGTTGTTGGGTGCCGTTGAGTTGGTTCTGAGTCATAGTGACCCTATGTACAACAGAATGAAACACTGCCCAGTCCTGCACCATCCTCACAATCGTTGTTATGCTTGAGCCCATTGTTGTAGCCCATTGTTGGTCCACGTGTACAGTTGCCCCTTATGTTGTTGAAAAAAGGTATTTGCAACAAATAAGTCATCTGTCTCACAAAATTCCATCATGCAGTCTCCGGCATCTTTCTATCACCAAGGCCACATTTTACACCTATGGATCCTTCTTTGTTTCTGTCTTTCGCATTCCAATCAACAGTAATTATCAGTGCATCTTGATTGCATGTTTATCAGTTTCAGGCTGCAGAAGTTGGTAAAATCTTCAGTTTCATCAGCTTTGGCATTAGAGGTTGGTGCGTAAATTTGAATAATAGTTGTGCTAACTGGTCCTCCTTGTAGGCATATGGATGTTATCCTATCACTGACGGTGTTATACTTCTGGATAGATCTCAAAATTTTCTTTTTGACGATGAATGTGATGCCATTCTTCTTCAGTTTGTCATTTCAAGCATAGTAGACCAGATGATTGTCCTGTTTAAAATGGCCAATATCAGTCCATTTCAGCTCATTAATGCCTAGGATATAGATCTTTATGTGTTCCATTTCATTTTTGACAACTTCCAATTTTTCTCTATTCATACTTTGTACATTCCACATTCTGATTATTAATGGATGTTTGCAGCTGTTTCTTCTCATTTTTGTCATGCCACATCAGCAAATGAAGACCCTAAGCTTAACTCTTGTCCATGTCATTATGGTTGACTCTATTTTGAAGAGGCAGCTCTTCCCCAGTCATATTTTGTGTGCCTTCCAACCTGATGGGCTCATCTTCTGGCACTACATCAGACAATGCTCAGCTGCTATTCATTAGGTTTTCACTGGAATTTTTTTAGAAGTGGACTGCCAGGTCCTTCTTCCTAGTCTGCCTTAGTCTGGAAGCTCC